CTTTTTTTCTTATAAAAGTCTAAATAAAACAAAAGTATTGGTGGTAATTTTTGACTGTAACTTAACGGCGCCTCCTCCCACTGAGCCACTGTTTGTTAAACAGCTCTTACATTGTTCTGAACAAAGAACTGTCACAAAACGACACATGTAACTGGTGACGACTGACTTCCCTCAAATTCCTTTAAGATGAGTTGAAGTTTCCGTCTAAACAAATGTAGATAAAATTTTGGTTCAAAAACGTCGAGTCAAAAATGAAAGTGTTTAATAGAAGGACTTGATTTTCCTCCTCCTTCCAGGTAACAGACTACCTGTGCGACACCCCCCTCCTCCTGCAGTTACTGGCTCGTGGCCTGGGCACCATGGGTGGTCTTGTGTGGCTGTTTTTCTTCAGGGTGGCCGTGTGCTGTGTGGGGACTGTGGTATCCATCTCCTCCACACCTGTAGACCCTTCATCAGAGAGGCCCCTGGAAACAGACCCCTCCCTCTGTGGACTGCTGGGGGTCCTGGACGATCTGGTGGTGGTGGTWTTGTTACTCATCTGTGTCATTAACACCAACCAGCAACTGGAACCAGAAAGAAGCAGCTCTCCACGCTCACAGACTGGGAGATCACTGTAGGCAGACTGTCACAATAAGCTGCCTGACAGGGACGCTGTACTTAGTGAGAATATTGACATTTGTGCAGTTAAACCAGGGGTCTGCAACCTTTACAGTCAAAACAGCCATTTCTGCTACTCACTCAGTCATTAAATGTGTCCAGAGCTGCAAAACAAGCTACAACTCTGATTATCAACTGGTGGTCTGTGGGCCTTCTGACGGCCTTTTRGGGAACTTTTACGGCCAGTGGAGGTGACATTATAAAACAAAAAATGTATTGCAAATTTTATTTATTATTATTTTTACCCATCAGGACAAATAAAAAGACTATATTCATGTAAACAAGAAAAATACTTCATGAAGTTTATACCTAATTTCATAAAAAAATAGTACAACTGAAATACTCAGGCTTGTTTTTTTTCTAATTCTTCTTATGTAGTTTTTAATATTCTTCAAAGGTAATTCTGATGGATTAGAGAGAAAGACAAAAGTTAGTTTATTTAAGTAAACAACAGGCTAGCATAAGCTAACATGTTTTACTTTTTACATTGGTAGTATTGATCATGTATTGCTTACAAATTGATTTCTGTTGTGGGTATAAAAACAAAACAAAAAAATTATTCTGTTATGTTTGGTCACATTTTCAAAGAGCCACTTTAGAGGGACCAAAGAGCCACATGTGGCCCCAGAACCACAGGTTGCAGATCCCTGAGTTAAACTGTTTGGAGGTCAGATGGTGTATGAAACTCTCATATGTGGTGCCGTTTGTAAAGGTACACAGTCAAAAATTACCACCAATATTTTTGTTTTATTTAGCCTTTTATAAGAAAAAAAGAACAGATTTATTTTTCAAAGTCAGTTTTTCACCATATGATTCATACATTTATAAGTGTCATAGTTTATAAACTA